TGTGCTGTCTTGGGGGTCTCTGGGACGTCTCCGATGACCCCCCTGCTCGCCCTAGGTGTGCTGGGAAGGGCTTGGCAAAACGCCCCGCGAGGCCCGTCCGGAGGGTCCCAAAACCCCGGATCGCGGGAGTCCGTTCTTTTTTTGGGGGGGGGCGTGGGGCTTTCCCCCCGCCGAGGCTTATAAAATTTAGGAAGAGGATGATATATAAAACTGCCGCGGTCATCTACCTCGATCGCGAAGAAGAAGAAGAAGAAGAGGAGAAGGACGAGGAGGAGGAGGAAGAGGAAGAGGAAGAGGAAAAACAAAGAGAAAATTTCGTCGTCGCCGCCGATGTCGCACAAATGTTCGCGGTCTTTCGACCACCCGAGGCATCTCCTCGAATTCAGCCTCCAGGAACCGCTTTCGGTGCCGTGGACCTCCGACGAAAGTCCGGGATGAGGATCGACCTCCCTGGCAGGTGCCACCCCTTCGCAAAAGAAGGAACACGGGGTGCATCGAGGCTCGAGGCATGAGACTCCTAGTTCTTGGGTGCTCTCCGCCTCCTCTGGGCCTTCAGGAAGCTCCTCGTCGACGCAGCTGGGTCCACTCTCGAACTTCTGGCCAGACGCAACCCCAGCTGGGTCTCAACGATCCCCGAGCCTATCCAGGAGGTGGAAAAGGAGGCCTGGGACAGGCCCCGCGAAGGCCCCAAGAAACTCACATAAGACCATGAAAAACTTCAAAACAATCCCCCACAAGGCCCCCCCTTGAACCCCACACGCTACGAAGGACAAGCCGAAACCCCAAGATTGCCCAGCGATCGCGCGCGTTCCGCGAATTCTGTCTTTCACTCTTGCTGCCGCCCCAAGGGATCGGCGGTGCGGCGTAAGCCAATGAATCAGATTCCCCCCCACTGCGACCCCCCTCTTATTACGAAATCCTGGGGAACTTCTCAGAGGGCGCGAATTCTGAGAAATCACGCCACCTTCTGAAAAGGCTTTCTCCTTCTAGCTTGCCCCCTCGCTCGCCGCCGGTGATTGATCGTCTGATGAGCCCAGCATGTATCTTACAACCCTTCTTCGTCTCAGGGTTCCGCGCGGAATAACACGAAAGCCTGTGTCCTGCTTCCCCGACATGAACGACGGACGTCTCGTGCAAAAACGGAATCGGTTCAAGGGGCCCATAACCGTGAATTCTGGGCGATCCCGTGGCGTCCCGCGTGTTGTCACATGTTATCGCGCCAATTTGTTGGAAGCAAGAGGTTCTCGAAACGGGCCAAGATGCCCCAAGGTGCCCTCAAAATACCCCCACAAATTTTCGAGAGGGCCCTGAGTCGCCTAACGATCGCTCCAAGACGCCCAACATAGCTCGAATACGGCCCGAGAAACCCGCAAGACGCTCTAAGAGACATCCACGAGTACCCCTGAAATAGCCCCAAGAAGAATAATAATGCTGATTTCCTTGGGGTTTGATGGATTTCAGCTTCCCCGCTTTTTGGAGCTTCCGACGCTGCAAGACGGCGGCCCCTAGGTCCCCAATGATCGCCCCAAGAGGCCCACAAAGCAGCCCAAAAAGGCCCAAGAGGCCTCCAAGGCAGCCCTAAGAGGGGCCCAAGAGAGGGAACTCGACCCGACATTTCGAACACGCCGTCGCAAGATGGCCCCGAGATCGCCAGCAGGCCCCCAAGAGGCCCTCAAGATGCCCCGAGGGGGCTTCCAAGAGGCCAAACAACGACTCCAAGAGGCCCCGAAGAGGCCTCCTGAGAGGCTCCAGTGCACCCTGAAATCGATTTCAAGAAGCTTCTGAGAGGCCTTCCACGCGATCCCAAAGCATCCGAGAGGCCTTCGACCTACAACCCAGGCGCGGTGGCGGGATGCACCGAAAACCACTGCATAGACTGAATAAAAAACCAGAGGGCCCTCAAAACACACTGGGTTCCGGGTTGCGGCCTGCCCCCCAAACCGACCCCAGCTTGCTGAGGGTGAGAAGGCGTGTGAGGTGATCGGCTGTCCACCTCCTCCGTTCCCGTCCGTCTCCCCTGGCACAGGCACCGCATCCGCAGGGTGAGGGGGGGTGGACGAGCTCGCCAACGCACCCCGGGGACTCCCTCGGGAAGGAACCTCCAGAGACCCCAGGACAATCCAATGAACGCCAAGACTATCCAAAAGAGTGCCGGCACGGCCCAAAGTACCCCCACAACGGTCCAATGCTTCAAGACAGCCTACGAGGTCCTCGGGCCGGCCCAAGAGTGCCTCCCGAGGAACGCCGAGAAGGCCCCAAGGGGCAAACATGGTCTCACACACTTAGGAAACATGCGAATTCGCTAAAAAAACCTTTCCCGTCTCGTCAGCGTAGCGCGGCCCATCAAGCCCCCAATATCATTCCAAGGCGCCCCATGGGGCCCCCGAAGGGGCCCCAATGCGGCCCAATGGAGCCCCAAGAGGGCCCCCAGACGATCCAGGAGGGCACCGACAGGGGCCCAAGAATGGCAATGCCAACTGCCATCTCGAGCCTTTCCCGCTGTGATGGCGATGGCCCCGATACCCCCCCGTGACTCCCGAGGCGCCCCCAAGAGGCTTCAATTATCCCGGCAAAGCAACCTAACAGCGATGTGTAGGTGCATATCTCGAAGCATTCCCCTTAAGATTCAGATAAGAATCCTGTTGTAGAATTCTGCTGTTCTCGCAGTCGTGGTCGCATTCGCGATGGCAGTCGCAGTGGCAACAGCAGTCGCAGTCACAGCCTCAGCCTCAGCCTGCAGCCTCAGCCTGCCTCAGCCTCAGCCTGCCTCAGCCTCGCCCTCAGCCTGCTTCAGCCTCAACATCAGTCTGCCTTCAGCCTCGGCCTCAGCCTGCCTCAGCCTCACCCTCAGCCTCAGCCTCAGCCTCAGCCTGCCTCAGCCTCGCCCTCAGCCTGCTTCAGCCTCAACATCAGTCTGCCTTCAGCCTCGGCCTCAGCCTGCCTCAGCCTCACCCTGCATCAGCCTCAGCCTCAGCCTCAGCCTCAGCCTCAGCCTGCCTCTGCCTCAGCCTCAGCCTGCTTCAGCCTCAGCCTCAGTCTGCCGTCGGTTTCGGCCTCAGCCTCAGCCTGCCTCACCCTCAGCCTGCATCAGCCTCAGCCTCAGCCACAGCCTGCCTCAGCATCAGCCTGCCTCAGCCTCAGCCTCAGCCTGCCTCAGCCTCAGCCTCAGCCTCAGCCTGCTTCAGCCTCAGCCTCAGTTTGCCTGCAGCCTCGGCCTCAGCCTCAGCCTGCCTCAGCCTCAGCCCTCAGCCTCAGCCTCAGCCTCAGCCTGCCTCAGCATCAGCCTGCCTCAGCCTCAGCCTCACCTGCCTCAGCCTCAGCCTCAGCCTGCCTCAGCCTCAGCCTCAGCCTGCTTCAGCCTCAGCCTCAGTCTGCCTTCAGCCTCGGCCTCAGCCTCAGCCTGCCTCAGCCTCAGCCTGCATCAACCTCAGCCTCAGCCTCAGCCTGCCTCAGCCTCAGCCTGCCTCAGCCTCAGCCTCAGCCTGCTCAGCCTCAGCCTCAGTCTGCCTTCAGCCTCGGCCTCAGCCTCAGCCTGCCTCAGCCTCAGCCTGCATCAGCCTCAGCCTCAGCCTCAGCCTGCCTCAGCATCAGCCTGCCTCAGCCTCAGCCTCAGCCTGCCTCAGCCTCAGCCTCAGCCTGCTTCAGCCTCAGCCTCAGTCTGCCTTCAGCCTCGGCCTCAGCCTCAGCCTGCCTCAGCCTCAGCCTGCATCAGCCTCAGCCTCAGCCTCAGCCTCAGCCTGCCTCAGCATCAGCCTGCCTCAGCCTCAGCCTCAGCCTGCCTCAGCCTCAGCCTCAGCCTGCTTCAGCCTCAGCCTCAGTCTGCCTTCAGCCTCGGCCTCAGCCTCAGCCTGCCTCAGCCTCAGCCTTCAGCCTGCCTCAGCCTCAGCCTCAGCCTGCCTCAGCATCAGCCTGCCTCAGCCTCAGCCTCAGCCTGCCTCAGCCTCAGCCTCAGCCTCAGCCTGCTTCAGCCTCAGCTCAGTCTGCCTTCAGCCTCGGCGTCAGCCTCAGGCTGCCTCAGCCTCAGCCTGCATCAGCCTCAGCTCAGCCTGCCTCGGCCGCAGCATCAGCCTGCCTCAGCATTCAAAATGTGGCCCAGGAATGGAATTCTGGGAACTAGAAGAACACGAAGTGGCCTACAGTTGGCTCCGGGCATTCAAAATCATGCACAGGAATGGAGTTCTGGGAACTTGAAGAGCACGAAGTGGCCTACAGTTGGCTCCGGGCATCCAAAATGTGGCCCGGGAATTGAGTTCTGGGAAATCGAAGAGCACGAAGTGGCCTACAGTTGGCTCCGGGCATCCAAAATGTGGCCCGGGAATGGAGTTCTGGAACTCGAAGACCACGAAGTGGCCTACAGTTGGCTCCGGGTATCCAAAATGTGGCCCGGGAATGGAGTTCTGGGAAGTCGAAGAGCACCCAGTGTGTGACTGTTGCACGGTTATTCAAGAATTGTGGCCCTGGGAATGGGGTTCGAGAGGTCGACGAAGCACGACGTGTGTGACTGCGTTGGTGAAAAACGAGCCCGCAAAGGCCTCCCCCCCCCCCCTGGCCGGCGGGCAACTCCCAAAAAAAACCCGCCTGCCGGACACCCCTGTGAGTGGTGATCGGAGCTCTTTTGAGTCAACTAGGAACCATATCAGTCTTCGATGTTAGGTAAAATAGACAATCCAGAAATGCCCCCGAGAGGCCCCCGAAAGCCAGTCAGATGCTCCCAGGAGCCCTCCAAGAGGCCCCTGCAAGAAACATCCCAGGGGACCCTGACATTCGTCCCCGAGGCTCCTGACCCACAGGCCAGGCACCGTGGCGCGACTCTTGACGAGTTTATTGTAAAAGGGGGTCGGCGGAATGGCGAAAGCCCCCCGATGCAAGAATGCCCTTTCGACTCTTGAGGAAAGGCACTTTGAGTACATTCGAACCTGGTACTCTCATGGCAACTATTCCCGTTCAGCTGCCGACGAGTTTGCAACGCGTCGCAATCCGGAACGACCCAAAGATTTGTTGGACGCCATGTAACGGGGGAGCGTTGCCTTTTCGCCCGACTTTTCCGCGTGGGCCGCCGAGCGCCACGCCCAGAGAGGCGCGACGTGGTCGAAGCGAAAGCTGGGCGAGGGGAAGGAGGGTGGCGCAAATGGGGAAGGGGCCTGGTAAAACGAGAGTAGAAATATAAGTAGTAGTAAAAATAGTAGTCGTAGTCGCCACATAGAGAAGTAGAAGTAACATAATAGATCAATAATAAGTAATATTATAGTAGAAGTAGAAGTAGTAGTAGTGCAGAGTAGTAGTAGTAGTATTAGTAGTAGTAGAGTTGTAGTAGTAGTAGTCGTAGTTAGTAGTAGTAGTAATAGTAGTAGTAGTAGTAGCAGTAGTCGTAGTAGTCGTCGTAGTAGTTAGTAGTAGTAGTAGTAGTAGTAGTAGTAGTAGTAGTAGTAGTAGTAGTAGTAGTAGTAGTAGTAGTAGTAGTAGTAGTAGTAGTCGTAGTAGTAGTCGTAGTCGTAGTAGTAGTCGTTTCGTAATAGTAGTAGTCGTACTCGTAGTAGGAGTAGTAATAATAGACTTCGTAGTAGTAGCAGTAGTAGTAGTCGTAGTCGTAGTAGTAATATGGATCTGAATTTCAAATTATCCCGGCAAAGCAACCTAACAGCGATGCGTAGAAGCATATCTGAAAGCATTCCCCTTAAGATTCAGATGAAAATCCAGTTGTCGAATTCTGCTGTTCTCGCAGTCGTAGTCGCATTCGCGATGACAGTCGCAGCGGCAACCACAGTCGCAGTCACAGCCTCAGCCTCAGCCTGCCTCCTCCTCCTCCTCCTATTTCTCCTGCTCCTCCTCCTCCTCCTCCTCCTCCTCTTCCTCCTGCTCGTCCTCGTTCTCGTCCTCCTCGTCTTGCTCGTCCTCCTCCTCCTGGTGCTCTCTCCTCCTCCCCCTCCTCCTCCTCCTCCTCCTCCTCCTCCTCCTCCTGGTGGTCCTCGTTCTCCTCCTCCTGGTGCTCTCCCCCCCCCTCCTCCTCCTCGTCCTCCTCCTCCTCCTCCTCGTCCTCCTCCTCCTCTTCCTCCTCCTCCTCCTCCTCCTCCTCCTCCTCCTCCTCCTCCTGGTAGTCCTCCCCCTCCCCTCCTCCTCCTCCTCCTCCTCTTCCTGGTCGCCCTCGTTCTCGTCCTCCTCGTCTTGCTCGTCCTCCTCCTCCTGGTGTTCTCTCCTCCTCCTCTCCTCACTCCTCCTCCTCCGTCCTCTCCTCTCCCCTCCTCTGGTGTCTCTTCTCCTCATCTGGTACTATCCCCCCCTCCTCATCCTCATCCTCTTCCTCGTCCTCTCGCCTCCTCCTCCTCTTCCTCCTCCTCCTCCTCTCCTCCTCCTCCTCCTCCCCTGGTACTCCTCCCCCCCCTCCTCCTCTCCTCCTCCTCCTCCTCCTATTTCCTGGTCGTCCTCCCTCCTCCTGTCGTCCTCCTCCTCCTGCTCGTCCTCCTCCTCCTCCTGCTCGTCCTTCTTCTCCTGCTCCTCCTGCTCCTCGTCCTGCTCCTGCTCGTCCTCGTCCTCCTGGTTTTGCTCGTCCTCCTCCTCGTCGTGCTCTTGCCCCTGCTGAAAATGTGGCCCAGGAATGGGAGTTCTGGGAAGTCGAAGAGCACGAAGTTTCCTACAGTTGGCTACGGGCATTCAAAATGTGGCCCGGGAATGGAGTTCTGGGAACTCGAAGAGCACGAAGTGGCCTACAGTTGGCTCCGGGCATTCAAAATGTGGCCCGGGACTGGAGTTCTGGGAACTCGAAGAGCACGAAGTGGCCTACAGTTGGCTCCGGGCATTCAAAATGTGGCCCGGGAATGGAGTTCTGGGAAATAGAAGAGCACGAAGTGGCCTACAGTTGGCTCCGGGCATCCAAAATGTGGCCCGGGAGTGGAGTTCTGGGAAGTCGAAGAGCACAAAGTGGCGTACAGTTGGCTCCGGGCATTCAGAATGTGACCCGGGAATGGCGTTCTGGGAGGTCAAGGAGCACCAAGTGTGTGACTGTTGCATCCGGTTATTCAGAATGTGGCCTGGGAATGGGGTTCTGAAAGGTCGACGAGCACGAAGTGTGTGACTGTTGGTGAAAAACGAGCCCGGCACACTGCCGCCCGGCAACTCCCAACACCTGCCCGGACCCCCCTGTGGAGTGATCTGTAAGCTCTTTTGACCCTACTAGAAACCTATCAGTCTTCGCTGTTAGGTAAAAAAAGATTATCCCGGCAAAGCAACCTCACAGCGATGTGTAGAAGCATATCTGAAAGCATTCCCCTTAAGATTCAGATGAAAATCCAGTTGTCGAATTCTGCTGTTCTCGCAGTCGTAGTCGCATTCGCGATGACAGTCGCAGCGGCAACGGCAGTCGCAGTCACAGCCTCAGCCTCAGCCTGCCTCCTCCTTCTCCTGCTCTTTCTCCTGCTCCTGCTCCTCCTCCTCCTCCTCCTCCTCCTCCTCTTCCTCCTGCTCGTCCTCGTTCTCGTCCTCCTCGTCTTGCTCGTCCTCCTCCTCCTGGTGCTCTCTCCTCCTCCTCCTCCTCCTCCTCCTCCTCCTCCTCCTCCTCCTCCTCCTCCTCCTGGTGGTCCTCGTTCTCCTCCTCCTGGTGCTCTCACCCCCCCCTCCTCCTCCTCGTCCTCCTCCTCCTCCTCCTCGTCCTCCTCCTCCTCTTCTTCCTCCTCCTCCTCCTCCTCCTCCTCCTCCTGGTAGTCCTCCCCCTCCCCTCCTCCTCCTCCTCCTCCTCCTCCTCCTCTTCCTGGTCGTCCTCGTTCTCGTCCTCCTCGTCTTGTTCGTCCTCCTCCTCCTGGTGTTCTCTCCTCCTCCTCCTCCTCCTCCTCCTCCTCCTCCTCCTCCTCCTCCTCCTCCTGGTGGTCCTCGTTCTCCTCCTCCTGGTACTCTCCCCCCCCCTCCTCCTCCTCCTCCTCGTCCTCGTCCTCCTCCTCCTCCTCCTCCTCTTCCTCCTCCTCCTCCTCCTCCTCCTCCTCCTCCTGGTACTCCTCCCCCTCCCCTCCTCCTCCTCCTCCTCCTCTTCCTGGTCGTCCTCCTCCTCCTGGTCGTCCTCCTCCTCTT